CAGGGCCATGTAGTAAACCCTGTAGGCCTTCAGCCTTGAGATCTCTGCTGCCTCTGCTTAATTCTGCCACTGTAGTGCGAAAGCAGCCATAGTCACGTGTAAGTAAATGAGCAGGATAGTAGTTCAGTAATGCCTTGCTTAACAATAGCTGAATGTTATGTAATGTTTTCATCATGAAATATTCTTTTGACTTTTTTCAAATAATTTAAATATGGCTACATGCCAGTTTAAATATGTCATTCTTCTCTTAGGCACTGTACTAAAATTGACCTTCCTTGGGCTAGATCTACCCCATAGGTAGTATTCTCCAGCCCTGCTGTCGTTTACCACTTATATTGTAAGGTCTTCCTTTTTTTTCATTTACTGTGCATACTGTGCAGAGGTTTTTTTCTTGAGGACTTGATAAATTGATCTCTATAAGCATTTAGTTGATTCTTTACACTTGTCAGTAAATGATGTCAAATTTGAAACATTTCTTTTTCTGCATATAATCTTAGAAATCTTCCGTTAGTGATTTCAAATTTTGTTTCACAAATATTTGTTGCAGACTTTCTTGATTTTAAAGCAGAGGTAGGCAGACCATGTTGTTTCATATTTATTTATTCTTATTTTGTAGTGTGTGTATGGGTTTTTTTTTTCTCATTTTATTATCATAAAATTGGACCTTGTTATTGAAGTATCTAGTCATGGGGCAGGCACAGTTCTCTTTGTTGACTTCCTTTTTTTGTATTTACATAATTCAGACAACAATTCTACATATTTGCACATTCTACATTTGTGATATTGTTTGAGTGTACCCTGAGTCTTGATGTACTGAAATTAAATCCCCATTGTGAGGAATTAAGAGGTCAGAAACTGATTCCTGCTATGGTTTTTATGACTTTGTAAGGTGACTTAGATTCCAGTGATTAGGTCATGATTGCTTTATAAGCAGAGGAAAAGAAACCGCAGAAGCATGCTCCATGTCTTCACATGCAGAGCTTTAAGCTACTTTCGGGAGTCTGCTGGCCAAAAAGCCTTCACTCGATGGCATCACCCACCTCCATCCCACCTCACCCCACCCCGAGGGTGTTTGTACTTCCGGAACCAGGAGCCAAAATGAAACTATAAAGGCAGCTTGCCTCAGATATCTCACTGTAGTAACAAGAAAGACTAATAAAATTCTCTCCATATTATGTATGACTCTTTAGAAGGTCATGTTGATCTGCTTACCAATTATAAAATAATATATTTTCCTTCCACTAATAACCCTTTTAGTTTCTCAGTACAATTCATGAATCATTATTATCTGCTTAACATTGTGATGCAGTGTTACTCTTTTTTCCTGAGTGCAAATTTAATGACTCTATTTCCCCATGTTATAATAGAGATACATCCAAAAGAACAGAAATACAGATAAATGAGTTGTATTTTTGTCTAGAGAGAAGGGAGTTTATAGGTGAAGTAGCTAACTGAAATCATGTGAGCAGGCTTTGAAGAAGTAATAGATTGGAAGGTGTGAAAGGGCATAGGTGTTCAGGAAATGGGGAAAACTGAAGAGAGCAGCAGTCATGATAAAACATTTGTGTGAAAGAGCAGATTTAGATGAAAAAACTATTCCTAATAGTAAGGTATTAAGATAATAAAAATTGTCATTTTTAATGTAGATCTATGGTCTCAAATATCTAAATAGGATAGGAAGGAAATATAAGTGATACATAGTTAGATAGGCAGTGTATGGATCAAATAAGAAAGGTAGATGGAGACTGCCAACGTGGAAGGGAAGAGTCCATAACCTATTTAAACACACTAGCTAGCTGCTCAGCTTAGTTTATCATGTAGAAATACCAGACTTGTGTTATCAGCGTTCTTACTTTGCAAAAGCACTGAAAAACCTAGAAGTACTGTGTCACAGTTTTAAAATACTGACAGTTAAATGTTTTTAGAACAATGTATTATCCATACAAAATGAATATGTCATCTGAAGCTCTGCCTGAGATGGTACAGTCAGAACAGTTGTAAAGTCTACAAGCAGTAGGATAATTTTTATGTTTTACAAAGATAAAATGACAGCTATGTTGAACTTGGATTTTAGTAAGTGTGGAATGACGAGTGGAAACAGGTCTACTAAAGAAGTTTAAAGATTAAATGGATATGAATTATTAGTGCTTTGTTAATAGGGATGGTAAAGTTTCTGGAGGTACATGTGATGGGGCTTTTTTTAAACCTTGATGAATAGTAAAATGATTACAAAAGAGTTAATAGTTAAAGATTACTTTGCCTTTTCCTTAAATCATATTAATCCTATGCAGAGACAGCTGATTTTATCAACTTGTCTGTATATCCCTGTAGCTGGTCTGACAGTACGTAGCCTGTATGTGCAGGTGTGGGTATGACTTGTCCCAAACTTCCTTCACCCACGAGGGACACATTCCAAGGTGTAGATGCCTACCGTTATGCATGCAGTTGTTTTTACTCACCCTGCAGCACTGTCACACAGTGAGAGTTATCCGTTCTGCCCCGGCATCTCCTCTACATCACCACTTCTGTGCTACAGGCCACTTTAAGTAAAATGGGATGTACCCTTCAGCATCAAGCATCGCAGAGACATGAGGAGAAGGCAGGCGGCACACGCGGTGGTGTTCAGTTTCCTCGTGCTGTTCTAAAGCTGCCCCCTTTAAAACTTCTGAGCTGTCTAATCTCTGGAATTTTGCATTTACTATTTTGGGCTGCAGTTGACCACAGAAAGTGAAATGATGGATAAATATATGTCTATATCTCTGCTTAGCAGTGTGTCTTGGGTTTTTGTTTTTTTAGTCATATGGCTGTAACTATTCTATTATTCTTATTAATAGTTGTACTATATTTCATTGTATGACTATAGGTAATTAATTTACTGTGTCATCTGTAGTAAATTTAGGGAGGTTTCATCTTTTGCTACTAAACTTTGTTTCCTGTGTACTGTATATCTATATTAGTTTGGGCTTCAGTGTGTGTGTTTAGAGGTTGAGATTCTTGCCAAGTGGACTGCGAGTTCAGATGGTATGTGTGCGTTTTAAATTTTAATGACTATTAATGCATTGCCTTAAGTGAGCTGCAGTCCTGCACACTCCCTCCACAGGTGCCATAGCCTGTTGCTGTACGCCAGAGGTATCACAGGATAGATCAAGTATTTGCAAATATAGGAAAAATGGCTTTTCGCCTCATAGGGTTTTCTGAGGTATGAGTAAGGTAGTCTGTCTTTCATATTTTAAAAATCTATTTGCATTTTCTGTAAAATAGTCTTTCCCAATTTTTTACTCCATGGCTGGCTTTTTATAGTGCAGTGACACAGTGCCCGCCTTTCAAGCATGCCGTCCTGAGTTTAATTCCTAGTACCAAATAAAATAAAGAGAGATTCCTTGTGGAAGATTTTTAATTAAGGAAAGTGAGCAAAAGTTTTTTTCTCTGTGTCATTTTGCTTTTAATTGGGTTAAGTATTTTTTATATAGTATTAGAAACACCTGTATTCTCATAATTATGTCTGTATTTTCTCATAGGTGTATCAGTCTAAGCTGGGTATAGTGGCACATGCCTATAATCCCCAACTGTGGGGAGCTGAGACACAAGGATTTCTGTGAGTTCAGGGCTAGCCTGAGCTACAAAGTGAGTTCAAGGCCAGTCTGAAATACATAGTGAGGGGCCAGGGAGATAGCTGAGTAGGATAAGCACTTGCCAAGGGCCTGAGTTCAATCCCTGGTTCCGCAAGAAAAAAAGAAATAGTGAGATCCTGTCTCAGAAACTAAACAACAACAACAACAACAACAATAAAATTTGTCTTCATTCATGATTTGATTAATAACCATTTATAAAAGTACAACCCTAGGTATTCTTAGTTGAATTTTAGAGTTTTGTATCGTTTGCATTTTAGTATTGCTAAAATTTTTTTTTTTTTTCTTTCAGAACCGGGGATTGAACTCAGGCCCTTGTGTTTGCCAGGGAAGCACTTATTCCACTGAGCCATTTCCCTGGCCCCAAAATCTTTTTTTTTTTTTTTTTTTTTTTTTGGCGGAACCGGGGATTGAACTCAGACCCTTGCGCTTGCCAGGGAAGTGCTTATTCCACTGAGCCATCTCTCTGGCCCAGTATTCCAAAAAATTTTTAAAACTAATTTTATAATTCAGTATGCTCATTATTATGAAATAGCTCATATTCCTTTCTTAATGAAGTCATAAATTATTAGAAGCATGCTAACTATTTTTAGTAATGAATATTTTACTTTGTTTATGTTAACTATTTAGTAAATTATTTAAACAGGAATAATTTGATCAGTCCTTTTATGAATGAATGAGATAAGCAAGGTGCACCAAGGCTGAGGAATTAATATTACTTATTAGATATACTTGGTGATACGTGCTCAAATAGAAACAAGCTGAGAGCTCATGGTGATTTTCTCTAGCTTATCATCTAGATGGATGTTTTTGTTTCCATTTTATTCATTTTTTGTATCCTGCAAAAAGGATTTTTAATTTGCTGTGTGACCCACTGCTCCTGGATAAAACTGCACTTTGTTCATTTTATATCATCCTTCCATGTACAACCACCATGTTGTATATCTTTAAATTTTATGTAGTGCCTCCTGAATATTGATGGGCCTAAGTAACATAATTGTTTCACTCTATAGTAACATCAGTGTTTTTGTATTATTTCGTAAAAATATTTCTTTTTAAAATTTTACTGATAATATGAATTTTAAGTGATACAGTTTTTGAAAACTACGTATCTTAAGGGCCAGCGAGATAGCTCAGCAGTCTAAAGCACCTGCTTAGGCAAGCACACGAGGAGGACTGTGGTTTGATCTCCAGCGCCACATGCTGTGCCAGCCCCGCCCCCAGGATTGGCTGAACCAGCCATAAGACAGACAAACAAAAAAATAACCACTATATATCTTAAGACAAATTATTTGATATTAAGGAGCCATTGTCACCTAACACTAGAACAAAAACTCAGAAGCAATTAAAGTCATCATTTCTTCCTTCTAGGAGTTTCTTTGAGTTGCTGCTGTTCTTTGGAAGAGATGAGTTTTATGAAGAACCTTTAAAGGATATTCTCGGATCGTTCCAGGTAAAATAGCTCACTGCTTCACATTTTATTCAAAACTCTTTTATATTCTCCCCTGAAAGATAATTTATTGATTATTTATTATAAAAAGTTGTATGGTTACCAGGTAACACTTTTAGGATCCCATTATGCTGACAGATAAGAAATACCTTAAAATTAATTTTTTACCTGTATTCGCAAGCAGTTCATAAGTCAGAGCCCAGTCCCACATTTATTAGGCCAGAGCTGCTAACAGCTTCTTGATCCTTAGCATATTTGGGCTGCTCCTAGCTTCTCTACCGTAACTCTGATGTAGCTTGATCCTGATGAGCGTGCATTTTTCTTTTCTAGCCTAGATGCAAGCTGGCTGCCCCTGGCCACCTTTTCCTTTTCCTATCTTAATTCTAGAGTAGCCTGTACAAGCAAGGAGGCAAGATTGTTGTTTTTTTTTTAAAATCTGGTGTAGATGAGAGTAAATCCAGAAAGGAGAGCCAAAAGATTGCAGGCCCTCTCCTGTAGGTCTTAAGAACACTTGAACCAAGCCTGATGGCATATAACTGGAATCCCAGCAGTTAGGAGGAAGAATCGCCCATTCAAGGACAATCACCAGTTCAGGTGTAGCCTGGGCAACAACATCCGGTCTCAAACTTTTAAAAAAGAGCTTGTGAGGTAGCTCATCCCCTAAATTTTGGCCCAAATGCAGGAAACCCTGGATTTAATTCACGATACTGGTATAAAGCAAAAAGCCCAACTCTTCTTTTCACCACATACTTGGCAAGCCACACCTAGTGCACAGCTTGGCTCACTCACGCTCCTCAGCATTACCTCGTCAGGATTCTGGGGAGTGGAATAAAGGGAAACGAGTTTTGAGCTCTTCTAGGGTCAAAGTCTCTACCATACTTTAAATTTATTACTACAATGTTAAAAGGTTTGTGGCCAGAAGTATTATTATATTAGGTAAATTACATTGAACATTTTACTTTTCCATTTTATTATTATATTCAACAAAGGGAGAAATTCTCATGAGCTTATGATCTACTTAGACTACCATTAAGCATAGAACACATCATAATTTTCAATTTTAGTTTTCTCTTGACATATGTATTCTTACCTATCCATTCTTGAATTTTTGCTATGTGGATATTTACTGAATCCCTTTGATGTGCTAGCCAACCACTGAGCTCAGGGAGAAACAGTCATAATCAAAACAAAATCTCTGCTACTGTGGAGTTTAATTTTCTGAAGGGATAGAACATTAAATCAGACATTTACAGAAATAGAGCGTTTCAGAAAAGAACAAATGCTGTAGGGGAAAAAAAAGGCAAGATAGGGAGATAGCAAATGTGGGATAGTGGTTTACGGAAAGGTGTTTTCAATTTTAAGTGGAGTGGTCATATGTAAACTGGGGATGATTGTGTGTTTGCTGCATAGAGTGCAAACACATGTGACTTGGCATCGTGCCTGGCACAAATGATGAATGATGTCATTGCTCTCGAGGTAGGCTGCCGAGCCTGTCTGGTGAAGGTTGTAGGCTTTTAAGTCATACTACCTGAATATTTGTTATAAAAAAACCAAAGCCTACCTCTTAAGCTTATTCTAATCTTCCATGAATTTTTGATCTCCTGAAGTCTGAGTTGTACAAATAAAGATTTCTTAAACTCTTCTTATCCACCAGTTGAAATTTTTTCTCTGCCATGTTCCCAAGATGAACCTTTATTCTTGCAGCTGGGTGTCCTATTGCCGTCTTCTAAAGGTTTGCTTTTTAGCTCTGACTTGTAGTTAGTTTTCTTTACCTCAGCATAATAAGATGATGCATTTTTCACATGATGTACCACTCTAAACATAATCATCAAAAAATTTCCTAGTTCTCCAGGAAAATGATAAAAAATATAAAGTGATAGAAAATTTCATTGCAAATGTTAGCATGGAGAAATGTTTTATGCCAGAAAGAGCATTCAAACATGAAACCAGATTGAAAGAAAAGCCAAATAATACTTGATTGAGTGTGATGAAGTAAGGAATACCTGAGAGGAATAGAGAGAGCTTCATCTAGGTGTTCTCCCTCACATACTTCCTGTCCCCTTCCATTTAGCTGGGGGCTAGATCTGGAAGATGGTGGGTGATTCAGTGTAGCAAAAGTATATGAGGACTGCAGGGTGTGGCTCTGCACTGGAGCCTTTTCAGTGAGCGGTGCAGCCTGCACTAGTATTGATAGGTAAGAAGGTCTTCAGAAACGAGCGTGGTTGGCTCTCCCTGAAGATTTTTTTTTTTAACTCCATTTTATTGATAGAATAGACTAAGTAAGCTATAGTACCTATAAACTTTACCCCTTTCTTTTTATTTGGGTTTGAAGGATACATAGTAGTGGATGTACCTTTCCACTAATTAAAAGCTCTGTTCTAGATGTTCTAGGTAAAGCTGACCAAAATGAATTACTATATTGCATCTCATTTTTGCTGAAGTTGAGTGCAAGGTACCTTGCATGCAATGAAGTAAAATTGCAAAGAAGGATGGATTAACCTTGGAGAATTTATGAAGATGAAGTTTGTGTAGAGATGAGACCACTAAATTAAAAGTGCCATGAAAGTGAATAATAGCAGACTAATTGAGACAAAAACCCAATTAGTGAAGGAAACAATCCCTAAAAATTCTTTTGCTACTCGCGATTACATTCAGGCATTTCTTGTTAGGGTTTTCAGTTTTCATAGTATTAGAACATAAACCCACTGTCTGTCTTTTAGAAGGAAACGAAAGTGTGCCATAAAATAGTGTCATAACGTAATAGAAAAAAGTAAGACTGATCTGAGGAAGCAAGTGAGCATTAATGAACTATCTTTATTGCAGCTGTTGTCAAGATTCTACTAATGTCAAGTGATTTTGAAGAAAGGAAATAGAAGTTGTGAAAACAAACACACATACATAGTGATTGTGAACTAAAGTTTCAGGTTCTCAGATTGACTGGCTGAGGATAAGGAGGAGGATAAGGAATATAGAGATGAATCATGTATGTATTGGGGAGTCTACAGTGAAGTAACAGCATAAGCTGGTTTTATTTGCTGAGTGGCATGATGACAGGAGGAAGGGGATATGCAAAGATAAAAGTTCCATTAGAGACACTGTTTTAAATGATATTGGACTATCCAAGTGCTAGATGCTTAGATTCATGGTTCTGTGTTTGTATTTTCCTAGTTATTTTTTAAACCAAGAATAGATAATACTTTTATAAATTGAGAGAAATAAAAAAGATTCAGTAACCTCAAAGTTTTACTGCTCAAGCTGTACAGTATTTTAATGGGCCTGCCCTAACCCTAATGAAACACCTTTTCCCTCTCTTGCATTGTTTTCAAGCGTGAGCTCTTTTGTTCTGACTTCCCATAGGCCTGAGTTCAGGAATTTTCTTGGTCCCAGCCTCTATCTTTATGTTCTTGTTGTTTGGATGATTAGGAGGTGATAAAGGATACCATCTCCCAAGCAGGAAGAGGCCCAAGGCTGTGTTACTACATAATGTTGTGCTTGGAGCAAAAAATATCCAAGGTGAAAGAACTTGTGTTTAAGTATTTTTTGTTTAAATTTTCCATTGCTTCGAAGGGCAAGTATTGATATTTCCTAAAACTGTACACTGGCCGCTGAAACCTCAAATTCTGAACAATGCCACCTTCCTGGAATGGTTTGAAAACACTTCCAAAAATTAATTTGGCAAGGTTTTGTTTTTTTATTTTTTGGCGGAATCGGGGATTGAACTCAGGCTTTTGAGCTTGCCAGGGAAGCGCTTATTCCACTGAGCCATCTCCCTGGCCCTCTTGGCAAGGTTTTAATTTTGGTATTAGAAACATTCTTTTCAGTTCTGATTTAAAAAAACCAAATCAGCTGCATTGCGAAGGCATCACCACTGCTTCTCCTCGTGCATTCTGTGCTCTGTTCCCCACTGTGCACTGTGCACAGCGAGCACACAGCAGCCAGCGGTGGCAGGGCCAGGCAAGCGCAAGCCACTTCTGTCATTTGTTCACCTCTACAAATGTCTCAGTTGGAGGCCCTTTGTATCAATGAAAGTTGACAACTCAGTTGCCCTAAGTTGTGGACTTGCTCTATTTGTACTTTGTGTGTGTTTTAAATATGATACTGTACTTGAGGAACATCTCACTTCAAGTCTTAAGCTGGTATACTATGAAGAAGTATAAGAGGCAAAGTTATTTCAGCATAAAATTTAAAATAACAGCAAAGTACCAGAGGTCAGTCCCCGTACTGCGTGTGCTGGCCCCATCCTGGATGTGCCAAGCCAGCCAGCAAGGCCGGCCATGGCGGTGCATTTGTGTAATCCCAGCAGTGGGGAGGCTGAAACTGGAGGATCGCTACGACTTGGCGCTGGGAGTAAGACCCTGTACAAGATACATAAAATACTAAAAATAAAAAAATGATGAAATAATAGTTAAGCTCAAGGGTGAAGACCAAGCCTCCAAAAGAGGAACGGCAGCATCAGTAGGTTGTATAGTAACTGCATGTGACTGCAAGAAGGCACGAAGCACTGTGCGCTGATAGTTCCTCACGTCTGTACCCAATCATAAACAAAAATTTATATTCGGAGCACCAGAAATCCAGTGCTGTCAGCAGTAGTCACCTAACCTGCCTCCCAAATCAACGGTGGGAGTAACATTGTGCAGCTGTTTCTGAGAATGTGCTCAGAGTTTTGGTGGATAAAGTCCTGGACTACAGTGGTATCTGTAGAAATGGCATGCAGCAGCAGGCCAGGCGATGCTAAAGAAAGCTCAAATGATGTTAGGATCAAGAGGCAAACGTGAGTTGTCTGTTTGGGCCTAAACCCAAGTGTGTCAGCAAATGATGTCTAAGACAAGGACTCTGCAGGGTTCTGTAGCTATATTTCACAGGTTTTTTTTTTTAAAGCTTGATTGCATATTCTCGTGTGTATGTTTTATTATTTATATGCATATATTAATATACACATTGTAAAATATTTAAAAATGATAAAAGTAAAAAATTTTAAGTACTGTAAAACTGACAGCAGTTTG